TTAGTGTTTGTTTGAAACAAAAAAGATTTTAATTTTCTTTGGAAAAAAGAAAAGGTTCAGACCCCATAGGCCGGCTGGGAAAAAAAGGAAAGCCCCCCCCCCCCCCAGTGATTGATGAGTCCTTTGCACAGGCCGCCTTACGACAATAACTTAAAAACACCGAGACATCGGGCAGTGATTTTAAAGCCAAGATTTTAAAAAGACCAAGCGTTGGGACCTCCCTGGCCTGCGCACCAGATTTGTAATCTGGCCAACCTTCTTCCTGTTGCCGAGCAGGGGAGGAAGAAGTAGAAGAAGCCAAGGTGCCAGGTACCCACCTGATCGAGAGAGCCACCTGTTACAACACCCCCCTCGGATGCTGCTCAGACGGCAAGACTCCTGCAGCGGACGCCGAAGGAAGTAATTGCCCAGGTAAATCTCCGGTTTCTTTCGCTGGCGCTGAGCTTTGCCAGCCTCGCCTCGGAACAAAATTCCAGCTTCTCTAGAAAAGCATCCTCGAGAAATAAGCCAAGTCGGGTCCCTCTGTGTGGGGTCAGCTAGCTGGATGGTTTGGGGAGGGTGACAATGACATTTTGGGGTCTACCCTTCAGCTTCCTTGCCCAGCTGCAATTTTCAGTCTCTTTGGTCAGACATGGCCACCCCAGTGCATTTCAAGTGAGTTGATATGCACAACAGAGCTGACTGGGACGTTTGGTAGATTCGGGCCTCACCTTTCCTCCGGGAGCTTTAAGAGATCCACCGTAGCATTTCCTCCCCACAATGACAGTCCAGCGAGGTAGTCTGGCTGAGTCCCCCAGGAAGCCTACAGAACTGGGAGTCTATCTAGGATGCAGATATAACTGCTCCCCTTTCTTACTCTGCTCCAGCTGCCTTCCCCCTTGGTTCTCTAGCCTTAGCCTCACGTGAGTCCTTGTCTCATGCCAGAAGGTAAAAATTGGGATTGATAAGCTGGGGATCAGGACCTAGCAACCTTCCGTGGTCCACCAAGCTCTCTGCTGGTCCATAAAATGCAGAGCATGAAAAGATTTCCTTCACTTGCAGAGACAGACCCACCCACGCACCCAACCTCACGCAACAAAAACTTGCCAACGTCCGTCCCGTAACAGAGCAAAACATCACATTTGTGAGATGAGTGGCTATATAAGAGAGAGAGAGACTTCCGTGCTTCCAGTTTGCTCCTTTATATGAACCAGTACAATACAATAGAGTGCAACATTTCCATGTTTATACCTGAATAATATTTCGGCAACTGAAGCAAAGTTAGTGCGTACAGAGGCCGGTGACATGGAGCATCTGGGGGAGATCCCACGGCTGACTTTTTCAGCTTGCACTTAGGGGCTGGGACCCAACTTTCTGGCCTTTTGCTCATGCATAGTTCAGCATCAGTTGCCAAGCCAGAATGCCCAAACCAGCTTCTCTCGTTCCTTTTCTTGAGCTGTCTAGGATCCACGTGCCTGGGGAGAGAAGTGAAAAAAAGGAAGCAAACCGAGTATGGAAAAATAAGTGTTGGCCCCTAATCAGTTATTTAAAAATAGTCGACGCATAATTCCACGTTATGAAAGCTTTCGAAACAAGACATTCTCCCCCCTCGCCCCCAAATCAATAAACATTCCCAAACTGGGGGGAAAAATGGGAAAGGAAGATAAAGTTTGATTCTTTTTACAGTATCCTTCTCCTCCCCCTCTGCTTAGGGTTCAGTTGTGAAAGGTTCGCCTCCCTATATTCTAATCTGTTTTTGGAGGCCTAGGCTGCCTAATTTGTAAGAGATATCTGAAAATCGGATGGAAAATTGGCTGGGTAAGCCGGGGATCATGATGATGAGGTTCAAATCATGCTTTGTAAACAATGTTCTTGGTGGTTCTGGTGTGTTGCTGCTCAGTCTTTCTGGTACAGGAAATGCAGCGCATCCCCATTGCTTCCTTCTCTCCGGAAACTTTGCAAGTTTCTTACATGTATCAGCGAGAGCCATGTAGGAAAATGATGGGGTTGGGGGGGAGATCTCTTCTCTTTTCTTCCTCTTCTCTCGTTCCCTTTCTTTCTCCCCCTTTTGGCCCAGTGTTTGCATGCCAGTAACCCACCCTCTTTTTTCAGCATATGATGTATTTCTCACTTCGCCCCAGCTAACCCTCTTTCTCTTGTTACTCAGCCGGTCCAGGAGGGTCCCCACCCAGGCTGCAACTTGGAGGAGCTTGTATGGTAAACTCTGCCAGTTCTCACAACCCGGGCTCTTTGCTACGCCGACCTGGCACCCTCAAAATACTAACCCCCATACGCTTTCTCTTGATCCATCCAGACTAACCCTAAAACCGCAGTGCTATTCATCCACCACCACCTTGTCGCTTCCCCCTTTCTGCCAAGGGGCTGAACACTCTTGATGGTTTGGGTGTCGAAAACGTGATATGTCTAATGTTCCTCCTGTCTCGCTCGCCTCTCTTCTTTGCATTAACCAAACCGTTTCTTCCTGGCCTTGTCTCCCCTCCCGTCTTTCTTCCACGCAGCCACCAAAGTCTTCCAGGGGGTCCTCATCTTGGAAGAGGTGGAAGGCCAAGAGCTGTTTTACACCCCAGAAATGGCCGATCCCAAATCGGAGTTGTTTGGGGAGACGGCCCGGAGCATTGAAAGTGTGGTAAGTGAGCGCAGAAAACCAGCCCCCCGCCACGAGACCGTGGTGGCTTTCCACTCAGTGGAATTGTGCAGTAAAGTTGGGACTCTCCTGGGATCCCCAGGGATCAGCACCCCTGTCAGTCCGCCTGGCTGAAAATCCAGCTGTTGCATCAGTTAGTCAGCCGTGATGAGGACCCTGATGGGTGAATATGGATCCTTCCCCAAGGCTGATCCCTAAATCTTTTTTATTAATGTTGTTCTCTCTCCTTGTTCCGTCTGCCTGACTTGCAGCTGGACGAGCTTTTCCGCAACTCAGATGTCAAGAGAGACTTCAAGAGCGTCCAGGTGCGACATCTGGGCCAAAGCAGTGCCGTGAGGGTCATCGTTGAGACCCATTTTGACCCAGGTGAGTCTGCACCTGGTTTCTCCACACCTTCGAAGGAAGTACAGACCTGCAGGCCTCTGTTAGATTATGATGGATCTGTCGGTCGGTTTGAATTCTGTCCGTCTTGAGGCTACATCTGTAGTGCTCCTGTTTTCCCCTGCCACACCAATCCAGCAAGGTAGGCTGGGCTGAAAGGGAGCAATGGGCCCAAAGCCCCCAGGGAGGTTTTCCCTGCTCCCAGTCCCACTCCTTCCTCACAGTCCCACTCTGGCTGTGTCTGTGGTTGACCTAAAAGTCCTATAATCTGTCGCCAGGCTGGCCAGTGGTCAAGGATGTTGGAAGCTGAAGGCCAAAGTGTTTGAATTGTTGCCCCATTCTCTCGGTTCCTAAAAGTGAGGGATTGTAGGGGAGAGGGGATGATAATCATTCTGCTCTTCCCAGAAGCTATGTTTTTTTGCTGGAATTTCAGGGAAGGCAAAATGATGCAACAGAATCTGGTCCCCGGATTTCTACTTTTTTATAATGCAGGATCAACCTTCCGTTGGACTGGGTGGGGAACGAGGAACAAAATCCTCCTTTTCTTTCCTTAGAGCCCAAGGGCCTGTTTTTAGTTCAAAGCACCTCTGAGCCGGTCACACGAAAAAAGCACTTAGTCTTTTTCTTTTCATCCTAAGACCCCTTTCAAGGCGTGCCTTTTGCTTAGTCAAAGGAAAGGAAACCAAGCACGGTTGGGGGGACGGAAGATCTGTGGCTCAAAGGTGTGGGGGGAGGTTGTGTGCTGGCTTGAAGGTTTCCTTTTCACGGGAGATGGAGGATGCCCCCCAAGACTCCTGTTTCTTCTCCTCCTCGGTGTTTGTAGCTACTTCTTACACGGCTGCCGACATCCAGAAGGCCCTTCTGAAGCAGATCAAAGTCTCTAAGAAGAAAACCATCTTGGTGAGGCGACCCCAGCAGGAGAACATCAAATTCATGGACTTTGGTGGGTCCCTCCCTCCTTCCCTTTCTTTGCCTCTCTTCACCTTCCTGTCCCGTCTTTTGGCTTTCTCCCTTTTTTCTGTCTCTGCTGTGACATTTTCCTTACAAAAGAGTTCTTCATCTCTCTCCGTTCAGGCCCAGAAGAGCCCAGCTAAACTTGAGAAGGTCCACTAACTTCTCCTTGTTGTCCTCCATTGCTGGGACTTTCAGAGAGGGTTTTGCTGTGAAGACACACAGTGCCTCTTTGGCGGGCAGAATGCCAGTTCCCTCACCCTCTCCAGGAGCCAGTGATGCCAGTTCCTACAACCTTCCCCCAAGAGAGCTGCTTTTCATGGTTTCCTCTCTTTGGGAAAGATGGAACGGAGTTCTCTGCCACCTGCTTCATGGGCTGGCTTTCTCCAGAGTTTTGATCCGTTGCTTCGTCTGGGGTTGAGTGGGACAGCTCTCATATTTCTTTCAACTGCTCTGTTAATTCCTAAGAAAGCTATCCTGCCTGAGCTGCGGTTTTGGTGGGCTCCAAGGTTGTGGTGGGGTCCACAACTGCAAAGCCAGCGGAGAGAACTTTTGATTCTCTGATTCGGTCTCTTCCCCGTTCAGTCTTCTCCCCGTCTTATGTCGGTGGATGTCTTGTGTTCTCCCATTGTATCCCAGCCTCCCAACCCTGTCACCTTCCTCTTGATCTTCTTCTAGACTGGATCCCCCAACTCTTCACCACTACCACCACCACCACGATCGCCACCACAATGGCACCCACAGCCGCCAGCTCCCAGCGGTTCCCTACCACCGCTGCGCCCCGGACCTTGAATCCGGGATGGCTGAACGGGAAAACCTCCGGGGGAGTCACAACCAAAAGGCCCGGCACCACTCTTCCAGCCACCACAGACAGGAAGAAGCCCATGCGCATCGTACCCACCACCAGGAAACCTGCACGGCCCTGTGACTCTCACCCCTGCTTACATGGAGGCACTTGTGAGGACGATGGCCGGGACTTTACTTGCAGCTGTCCCGCAGGAAAAGGAGGAGCAGTTTGTGAAAAATGTAAGTGCGAGGACGAGGTCTGCTTCTCCCCAAACATCCACGACTGGGGAGAAGCACCCCATCTTTGCCTCTCTGCTGCAGCCTGTGTGTTTCCTTTGATTTATTTATGGCTGATTTTTCTGCGCTGCTCCCCTCCAAATGGCTCTACGCGCTGTGCAGCAACAGAACAAAGAGAAGACATTAGACACCAAGTTATCTCACCGGAGGGGCGCCACCATTGAGAAGGCTTCCCAGTTTTCAAATGAATGGGGTATTCAAAGCCAAAGAGTTGGGGGGGGATGGGTAAGTGCATCACACCTCAGTTTTATAAAGAAAGGGTTTTTTATCCCAGTAGACACAAAAGCTCTTGCTTGAATAAGAAATACTGCAGGATCTCAGGCTAAATCCCCCCCTCCCCTTAGCCTCCCCACTTTCTTCCTCTTGCTCCTAACATGCACCTTTGCTTTTGAATTCTCCCTTATCCCCGCCCTGTTGCAGCCATCCGATACTTCATCCCCAGCTTTGGTGGGAAGTCCTACCTGGCCTTCAAAATGATGAAAGCCTACCACACCGTGCGCATCGCCATGGAATTCCGAGCCGCTGAGCTAAGCGGGCTGCTCTTGTACAACGGGCAGAACCGCGGGAAGGATTTCATCTCCCTGGCTCTGGTGAACGGATTTGTGGAGCTCAGGTGAGGGATGGCCTGATAGGCCACAGACTTCTCGTGGTAGGAGCAGCTGAGAGGTAGGGCTGGAAGAATTTCCTTGAAGCTGGATCAGACCAATGGGCTCTTCGCGTGGTTGGATACCAACCAGATGCCCAAAGGGGAAGTTCACCAGCAGGACGTTGAGGCAGCTGGAATGCCACCATTTTCCTTTGTTTTAAACATGTCAGTTGGCTCTTTGGTAATGTCTAGAGTCCACCACATTTCCATGGCTAGACTCTCATTTTCGTGGCAAGGCCAGGGAGCTGTCCAGCAGAGAAGACTCAGTGAGAGTAGAAGATGAGAACTTGGAAGAAGGTCAACCCCAGATCTTGGTTGGTCCTCTTTATCACAATTCCAGGGGGATCAGGTGGACCCTGATCGGTAACAGTGATTGAGGGGGACTTTCAGCTTAGAATTAAAGGGGGGATTGAACAAATTCATAAAGAAGAGACCCAGCTGTGATGGATAATCTTGATAGCTAACAATATCCCTTAAATTCAGCTACTGGGAAGCTGTGAAGAGGAAGTCCACGGATGTGAGCTTCCCCAAAGCAATGGATAGTCCACAAGTTGGACAAGATGGGCCCTTAGACTGATCCAGCCCCATTGGTCACAATCTACTCTCAAGAAGGATTTGGGGTGATTGGTGCTGTGCTGTGCTAGGAACCCTTCAATCCTTCTTTCCTTCAAAGTGATACTGTTGTGGTTCCCCTCAAGATGCCCTGGAAGCCTTCAACGCATCTTCCCAACAGGCACTTCTGGACAGCAGAGGGCTGCGGGTAGCCATACTGTACAGGATTCAAGACTTGTTTCCTAAATCTCCTTGAACTAGACATCAGGGTGGGTGATTGTTCAGTAACCATGAGTCAAACCTGTGTCCAATCTCTCCCAGGTTCAACACTGGCTCTGGGACGGGCGTGATCACCAGCAAGGTGCCCGTCGAGCCTGGCCAGTGGCATCAGCTGGTGGTCAATCGGAACCGGAGGAACGGCGTGCTCTCCGTGGATGGAGAGCCACACGTCACTGGCGAGAGCCCAAGTGGGACGGATGGGCTAAACCTTGACACTGATCTCTTTGTCGGAGGGGCACCCGAAGATCAAATTGCCATGTGAGTCATTTGGGGGGGCCATCCACAGATAGGCATCCACAGCAGGACACTTAGTTCCCTGGAAGAATAGGCATCAGCAGGTTTTCTGGGTTTTTTCCTTTTTTCTATTACTCTCTAACAACCAAAATATAATAAACAGAAGAAAAACTAGTAGCAACACAGCAGTTATTATACAGTCAAAAAAGGAATGAATACATAATAGTAATTAACATGAAAGGAAAGGAAAGGAGAGAGCTCCATATCATATGAATGGAGAACTAGGGCAAATCCGTTAACGTATTATTACGTCAAGATCATATGGAAACATATGGCTCCGTTTACTCGTTCTTACACTAATACAACGTTTTGAAAATCGATGGGGAATGCGGGCTTTTCAGCTGTTCTCCCATCCAGACGCCACCTAGCCCAGACCTGCTTAGCTTCCCCCAGAGGCCATACCTTGCATCTTCAAACCCCTTTTGGTAGTTGAAGACGACACAAGCAGGGCCCTAGACCCCAACCGACGTTGTCCTCCTAATGTCACTGCCCCATAGCTGCTTTGAGCATAGGAAATTGCATAAAGGAGGCTGAGCTGGGGGCTGTCCTGGCAAGCGTAGGTCCCATGTCTCAGGGGAGAACACGCTGGGGTTCAGTCTGGAAGCGCCGTTAGCCCACCACGCCCTGGTTGCTCCTGGGCCAGCTGGGCTAACGGTGAGACTCAGTTTCCAGGCCCTTCTCTGAAGCCAACCTCTGAGGCTTAAAAGCCAACCCTTCTGACAGCTGCCCTGTCGCCTCCATCCTAGGGTGGCCGAGCGCACCTCGGTGCCAACGGGCCTCAAGGGCTGCATCCGCCTCCTGGACGTCAACAACCAGATGTACGACCTGCGGGAGAAAGGCAGCGACGTGCTCTACGGCAGCGGGGTGGGCGAGTGTGGCAACAACCCGTGCCAGCCCAACCCCTGCCACCACGGCGGTCTCTGTCACATCATGGAGGCAGAGATGTTTCACTGCGAATGTCTCCATGGTTATACAGGTGGGCAGACCCTCTGTGTGTGTGAGAGAGGGAGAGAGACTTTTTTGCTCGTTTCCCATTCTTCCCTGCAGAACTAGCTTTCTAAAGGCAAGGAGGCTGTCTTTTCCCCTGGCTGGCTAGTTTTCTGCGCAGAGGGGGCCAGGGCTTTCCTCCCGATTCCCCACCTTTGTGAAAATGAATGCCGCCAGGAATCCTTTAAAAGCTGCCTAACTACGCCGTGCCTTCTTGTCTTTGGGCTTCCCGCAGGGCCCACCTGTGCTGATGAGAGAAACCCCTGTGACCCCAACCCATGCCACGTCTCCGCCACCTGTTTGGTATTGCCAGAAGGCGGATCCAAATGCGAATGCCCCATGGGACGAGGAGGGGAGTTTTGCGAATCAGGTAACCGGTGCCAGGGAAGGTCGGAAAGGGTGGGAGGAGGCCAGGATGCAGCAGCGACATGGGGGCAAATGGTCAAAGCAGAGTGGCAAGTCGCTTAGCTTAGCCAACGGGCTCCTGCAGCCTAAATCAGAGTTGCAGGGAAGGTTGTTCAGGAGCCCGACGTTCCTCTGATTACGCGTCTATCAAAATTGCACCCTGGGCCTTCGTCCGTTTCTTTGCAAAAGGGGGTGGAACGTCAAGCAAGCTTCGCTATTCAGCTGTCCTGCTTCCAAATACGCTTAAGGATTCCCCCAACCAAGAGTAGCTTTACATTTCCTTCAGGAAATGCAGGAACATTATCCATTTTTGGTCCCCCTTTCGTAGGAGCTCTCTAGGCCTAGCGAATGGCATGAACCCGGTTTATTCAACAAACCACAGCTAAGCACACCCACAGGAGGTCACTTTCGTTATGCCTCCTGGATTATCCACGCCGCCTCTTTTCCCTCCCTCTCTCAGTTGCAGAACTGGACCAGACGGTGCCTTTCCTGCCGGAGTTCAACGGATTCTCGTACCTGGAGCTGAACGGTCTCCAGACCTTCGTGCCAGACCTACAGTACGTTTTCTTCCTCCTTTCTTTTTTCTCTCCCCCCGCCCTCGCTGATTCAAGAAAATGGGACCCAATGCTAGAAAAGAAGCTTTCAGAAATGGCAAAAATATGGAATGATTCAGGCACAATGTTAGCAGTTGAACTGAAAACCTCTGATTATATATATTTTTCTATTTGACCATGCCGTTCTTTGTCCCAGAGAGAGAGAGTTGTGACGCGTTCACACTACCTCCCTGGTCCCACTCCAAAGATAGGACTTCTTTTCATTCCTTTTTTCTCTTTCGACGTCTTTCTAGTCTTCTCTTTCTCGTTTCTTTCATTCCTCTTCCGGGGATGTGTGAATTGGGGCCAAACGTGATTCAGATTATCAGTGGATTCAGAGTTATGGTCCTGTTTGATTCATGAAGGATGGGCTTTGATTTGATTCAAATGCTGAATCGGTTCATTTCAGGATTCCAGACTGATGAGGGGTGGCATTTGACAAGCATAGACACGATCTAAATCTGTTTGGAGGCATCTAGTTCAGTTTGGGAATCAGCAAGAGGATTTGAATTCTCAGTCTGATTCAACTGGGAATCAAGTCAAATCTCCAGATGAAATATTAATGCGCCCTACTTTTTCCCCTTCCCTTCTCTTCTTTTTTTGGGACGTGGGAAATGATTTGAAAGTTGATGTTCATCTGTCTAATCCCACAGGGATAAGATGGCCATGGAAGTTGTGTTCCTAGCAAAAAATCCAAATGGCTTAATTTTCTATAATGGGCAGAAGACAGATGGGAAAGGAGATTTTATCTCCCTGGCCCTTCACAATGGATACCTGGAGTACAGATATGACCTGGGCAAAGGAGCTGCTGTGATCAAGTAAGAAAATGTTCTATTATCAATCTTTGAGGTTAAAAACAAGGCACATTTCTGCCCTTACGGGATTCAGAAAGAACCTAGGAAAGCAGATTTTATACATATAAAATCTGTTTTGCTAGATCATTTCTTTACATCCTGCCACAATTGAAAAACCCTTGACAGTTTCTAAGATATGAAAAATTAATTAAAGCATCCGTGGTACAATTTAGCTTAAATACATTTTTTAATCTGCATTGTAAAATCATAACCTAATAAATCAGCCAAAAACGTACTGAGTTTTATGAAGTCATTACAACGCTGAGTTTTATAACGACGTTACAAATAATAACAGATTATATCACTGTGCTTGGATATTTTGTGGGGGGGAGGAAAAAAGGAAGAAGAGAAGAAAACAAACCGAAAGGAATTAAAAGATTTTGAAATTTCACCTCTTTGATTGAAAAGCTTTAACTATATATTCATAGAAATCATTATAACTCCGATTTTAAATATGGGATTAAACCTAAACCATATGGAATCGTATTGTCTAGTCTTTGACAAATTTCAGTCCATCAGTCAGAATGGATTGATGGTCCAAGAGTAACCAGCAATATGAGACCATATTGTATAATATGCATTGTATTGTAACTGTAAAAAAGGAACTTTAAAAATTGCGAGAAAATCCTAAAACAGCTAGCCGCTAACAATTAATTGCATGGAGGAAGACTCAGACAGCTTCCAAGAGCTAAAGATATTGATTGAAGTTCTGCAACCTTCTTAGGGGTTTCTGAAGAACCTCTAAGACAAGGATAACCACCTCCTGATCAGAACAGCAATTCAAATGATTAACAATTGGGAGTATTAAGCTTGATTGCCATTGGGGATACAGCGGACATTTTAATAGCACGTGTTGACAAATTTGACCTAGAAGAGCGTTGAATGACCCTTTGACCAACTGGTGGCTGATTCTTACAAACTTCCCAGTGTAGACTTGGGGAACCAGCTTCTCTTAATGGCTTCAGCCAGATTGAACCAGTTTTGTTCTGTCCTTTTCTCTCTGTGTCCTATCTTGCATTCTTCTGCCAGGAGCAGAGACCCAATCCCTCTGAATACCTGGGTCAGCGTTTCGCTGGAGAGGAACGCACGGAAAGGCGTAATGAGGATTAACAGCGGAGAACGGATCCTGGGTGAATCTCCGGTAAATTAATGCCACTCTCGAAAATAACCTTTGGAGCAACTTGGGATCCCTCGGGGGCAGCGTCTTCAACTCAAACAAGGATTGTAATCATCCCCTCTGCTCTTTGCCCCCTTCCCCCCCATGTAGGCTTCCCCAAAGGGTACCTTGTTGTTTGCACCCAATACGTTTCATTCAAATTAACCCACTTTTCTGGGTTCACATGATGAATGAGTTGGGAGTGGGATTGCAAGAAGTGCTAAGCTCTCAAAAAACCAACCCAGCTTCAAACTAACCGGGTTTAGCGTAGTGTTGGATGGAGCTCTTAGGTTTTCACTGGTGAAATGCGTTGTGTGAATGCAACTGCTGGAATATCGGCAGTCACCCTGGAACAACCAACGGCTTCTCTTAGCAGCTGGCGAGATTTTTCTCCTAAGCCCCAGAGCAAGACCTTAGCAGCAGCCTTTTTCTCATAGCTTCTCTCTGGAGCTCTTTTGTACACAGGTATCCTGCCCTGACATCTGGAGGTTCCATAGCTATGACAGTCCATAAATCAAAGGTCTGTGGCTACCCTGAATTGCTTTCAAACCTAGTTAAGGTGGTGGCCAGCGTCACTGAGGTTGCAGACGTGTGCAACTGTGCCTGGGAGCAAATCCTTTTCCATGCAGGGTGACCTGCTCACGGGGGACCGTGAGTCAGAGCTGGCTGTGAAAAGACATTTTGTCTTCTGTCAGTTCCGAACCGCTATCCGTTTTGTTTGGCGAGCTCTTACGGTGTAAGAGGGCAAACTGGGTCTTTCCTCCCCGTTCCAAAAATACCTTGAACAATTTAATGCCAGGCCATGCCTTTCTAATACTTTTTTAAAGTTAATCCCTCTTGTTTTTCCTCCTTTCTGTGCCTGGATCATTCAGAGTGCCTTTTTGCTCTCTGCTCCATCTCTTAATTGGCCCCTTAGAAGCCACAGTGCCATTTGCAACCAGCATCTCAGAATCCAAGGCCTGTTGCAAAGACTCCCCCCGTTCCGTGTCGGCAAAGAGGGCTCCTGACACGAGAAAGGTTTTTCAACCTGCAACACAGTGAAGAAGCGATGTGCAAGCTTTTTTCAGACTGAGGCTCACGCATGGCCTTCGAAGGGCAAGCCGGGGGCCACCTCCTGAAAAACAGGCTAGGCTAGGATGGAAACAGCTTTTGATGCACCGTGGTTTGATTTTAATTGAAATGCCACCAGTCTGATACAGGGAATGCTGTTTCTCGCCCGGCGGGAGCCCTGGTTGTTCCCCCTTTGGACATCCGCTGCCCTCACCTCTGTTTAGGATCACTTGAGATCCTTTTCCCCTGAAGACTGGAGAGGTGCAGGTAAAAAGACTAGAAGACTTGGGGGAAAAAAAGAATCAGAGGATCTCTTTCACTTGTGCCTGGTCTTCTCCAAAGATCTGTTTCTCCTCTCTGCCTTTTCTGACCTAGTGGGCTGCTAATGAGGAGTTAATGGATCTTTTGACTCTCTGTGTGGTGCGGCTCATATCACTGATCTTCTCTTTTTTCTCTTTTGATTCCCATTTGTGTTTCTTCCTTCCATTTTCCTCCTTCTCCTCCTCCTCCTCCTCCTCCCTCCTCTCCTCCTCCTCCTCCTCGCTGTCTGGATTTCAGAAATCTCGTAAGGTAAAGAGATAAGTATATCGACCCTCATCCTCATCTTGTTTCCATCACACTCAACCCTTTTTTGCTTCCCCATCCCAGTGCCAATAATATCATCATGTCCCCTCCTTTTCCATTGTATGACCTCCGTTAGCATAGAAGTTTCCTTTTTTTAGTTCAAAGGTTCATCTGTGTCCGCAATAATGACTTTTGGTTTTATTTTGGTTTGGTTCCCTCTCCCTTTTACATTTCCACCAAGTTTGGATCATTTGCCATTATTAACGTTTTCGTACATTAGATAGTTCCTTTTTAACACGGTGACTTTGAAACAGTGATGATGCCTTTGATGAAGGGGCAGGTAAGGGTTCAGAAAACCGTGGGTTATGATTGGGGAAGCTGCAAGAGTCCTTTTCTCCCCACCACAAACATTTCACTGATTCTCAACATTAAAGTTGACTAAGAACGTCTTTGGCAGAATTGAGCCCTGAGAAAAAATGTAGCTGCTGTTGGTCTCGCAGCTGTAATGAGCTCATCCCTTGTTAATACCAACTTTGATTGGTAGCATTTCTTCTGTGGGCTAACATAAGATTAAAGGCACCGAGGAAAACGCCTAGAAACCTTTTGGGTTAGTTTATTGCTAAATTGGTTTGTTGAAGACATGTCCCACCTATTCATACCACATGGTCTAATCAACTATCAGTTGACTGTAGCCATGAAGGTACTGTCTTCCATGAAAGCTGTAGTGCACTGTAATAAATATGTTAGTCTTCAAGGATGATATGAGGACTCCTGCCTTGGTCAGGGGGTTGGACTAGAAGACCTTCAAAGTCCCTTCCAACCCTATGAGTCTATAAAGGACCTCTAAAGAGGTTTGATTGTAGTGGCCTCACGTTGGCTTCGTCTGTCCCAAAGTAGAGTGAGAAAGATCTTGCTTCCAGTCTGTGTGGCCTCCATTCTCAGTGATTTTTCCTCCCCTTCTTCCCTTTTATCCAGTTGCCCCACACCTCACTTAACTTAAAGGAACCCCTGTATGTTGGGGGAGCACCTGACTTCAGCAAACTGGCTCGTGCTGCGGCGGTATCTGCTAGCTTTGATGGAGCCATTCAGAAGGTAAGGGACATCTTTCCCATTGGCTGTATCAAAAATGGGTGGTGTGGATTTTTGGTCACTTGCATTGGGTTGGTTGTTTTGGAAGGGAGATTTTCATAGCTTTGTAGCGCACGATGGTGTCCCCTAAAGCCTTGCGTCAAATGAAAAAACATACACACTTCATTTTGCTAGGGAATCTTCCAAAATTTTAGCCTTGGGAAAGAAAAGAAGCCCTACATTCCATTTCAAACCTTCTCTTGTTTTGAAGGCCATCTTGGTTAGCCTCCTGAGAACCTGTTCCAAGAAGGATATAGATTGAAAGTGGGGGACTGGTGGTTCTCTGGTTGTTGTAGAACTACAACTTTCAAGAACTCCAGCCAGTATGGGGTGGAGGGTGCAGGGAGTTGTATTCTGTAGCTGTTGAAAAGTTAAAATGGGTTCCCGGAGGGAAAGACAAGCAGAACTGCAGAATCACTAGGGAAGTAGACCTGGTGAGAAAAAGCAGGAAGAACTGATTAGGTTTAGCACTGAGGAGAGAGAAGGATCCATTTGGTTCTTTGCTGTAGGTAGGACTGGATCCCAAGGGGAGGATAGTTTACAGCTGAGTGCTAGGAGGAATTTTGTGACTATTTGAGAATGAAATCATTAACTAGAAAGATGGTGGCTAGGTCCTCCAAAAGCTGACCAGATGTTGGTTGAAAGTTCTCTTCTTGTGGAGGTCATTGGATTACACCAGATTTCTCCATCCTGATGTCTTCTAGGACTGTGTGGGATAGCAGCTTCCATAATTACCACCCAGCGGGATAATTAGCCATGCCAGCTGGGAATTATGGGAATTGCACTTGGAGGGCACCAATCTGAGTCAGGTTGGCTTCTCTGATCCCTGGGGTGGGATTTTGCAGTCTGTTAGTGTTTGTTTGTTTGTTTTAAAGCCTATCAGCCCCTTAATTTTCGCTTGCCTCCCCCTCTCCAATGGCTCAGATCTCCATCAAAGGGAACTCCATCCTGAAGGAGGAGAACATCCGCAGCGCCATTGAGATTTCATCTTTCCGCTCTCATCCCTGCACTCAGAAGCCCAGCCCTTGCCAGAACAGGGGGACATGCAGACCCCTCCTGGAGGGCTATGACTGCACCTGCCCCAGGGGCTTCTTCGGGACCCACTGTGAGAAAGGTGAGCCTGGGTTGACAAGAAAGACCGCTGTGGGGCTTGGAAGGAGATCTCTCACGGGCAAACCCTTCCACGGCCAGCCTGATCCTTGATGGCATAGAATGGGTGGACCGCCTTTCCCAACATGGTTGGTGCCCCAAGTGGGCTGCATTCTACTGAATTACAGTTGGGGGGCAGGGAGCCCCATATTCTCAAGATGGGCTGGGTGTGGGATTTCAAAGCGGGATATTTTCCAGCCCGACATGGGAAAACCCAGGATCTAAATCCTGGGCCTTCTCCACGCAAAGCATGGCCGAGACACAGACCCTCCTGTTGGCCTTCCTGGCTGGGGATTATGGGGGTTGCAACCTGGCCCTGGTGGAACAGGCCAGCCGGTCCTAAAGTTTTGCTTCCCTCCCTCCAGTCATCACCGAGAAAGCAGCCGGAGACTCGGAAGCCATTGCCTTTGACGGCAGGACCTACATCGAATACCACAACGCTGTTACCAAGAGGTAATGCCTGGTGGGGGGATTGGGGGGGAGCAAAGAGGTTAGAACACACCGAGGGCCCTGAATTTAAAATCTGGTCCTTCTCCCTTGGGCGGAGCTGAACCACAAGCCCCACCCACTCTCTGAGGGACTAGAGCAGTGCTTCTTAACCCCAACAACGTTAAGACATGTGGACTTCCACTCCCAGAATTCCCCAGCCAGAAACACTGCCTTAGAGCAAAGACCCCAGAGGTCTTCCGTCCTTCGGAGCCCCACCCCGGCAACCAAAATTTGGAGGGGAGCTCATCCCTTCTCCCTCCACCCATTAAACCTTTGCTGTGAACTCAACAAGGGACTCAACGCAGAAGCTCCATTCCCAGCTCCAAACCTTGAGGGGACCTAAAATTAGCCTGTTGGATGGTGTCTCTTCCCCGCCTTTCTTTGGCTACTTGTGAGCAGAGTAGAAAGTCAAATTCTTTCCCCTGCCCCATCGTTAGCCGTCGCAGTTTGCAGATTTGCTGCTTCTATAGAGGGGCGCTCCGCTCAGCTCTTACGACACTGTTCATCCAACCTGTTGTGTCTGCCCACTTGTGCGTGCATGTGTGTGTGTCTCATTCGTGGCTGATCAGTCATTCTCCAACTCCCGTCCAGGATTTCTCAGATATCCTGGGCTTTGGGGACTCCGCTGACAACTCTCCACTTCTGGAGTGGAGTACAGCCTTTGGAGAATGGGATATGTTGTTCTCTTTTCCTTCCCTCCTCCTTTCTTTCCTTCTCTCTATCCTGAACATCTTTCTGTTCTTTGTTTTCAAGCCAACTGACCAATGAGATACCAGCGTAAGTAAAATGTCTTCCTCCCTAGCACCTCCTCTTCCATCACTTTCTCACACCAGCCATCGTTCTGCTTGCTGATCCATCTTTTCAATTTCTTCCCACCGAGGGTCACTTGAGAATTTAGACTTGGAAGTTGGAAGAAGCTGGTGGTCACCTCTTCACTTAACTCCAGGGCACTTTGACAACCCTTCCACCCTTCCCTTGGACCACAGAATTAGAGTGGTTGGAAGTTCCCAGGGCTACTGTATTGCTAACATGGTCTAGATCAGTGTTTCTCAAACTTGGCAACTTTAAGACATGTGGACTCCAACTCCCAGAATTCCCAGCCAGCATGAGAAACACGGCTCTAGAAATGGATGAGTCTGAATACTTAGCTCAATGAAGCCCATTCACCTTTCTGAGATCTCAGAAATGGGCTTTTTATTAAATCTGATCTGTGCAGATGGGGCTTCCCCAAATGACCACCGTTCAGATCTCTGCTTCTAAGAGGTTACAAATTAGTATTCTAAGATGGATGGAGATGTAGTTTATCGGAATCCTGGATAGCTTCGTGCCTCCCTCCCCAAACCCAAAGAATTTGCAGTTGGGAGAAAGCCCACCCCCAAATGGGAAAAGAAGTCCAAATGAATCTGGAAAAGAAACGTCAACATGATCCTTTCTCTCGCAAGCGGGAGAAAAAGCAGAAAATGATTTAAGGCAGAGACATTGGCCTCCCTTCTTTTGCTAAAAGCACACCTCTGTTCAAAAGGGATAAAATGAGCATGCACGAGTGTGTCAATCCGAAGGAAAGGATACCTGTATTTAACCAGAAACGGTTCAAAAAAATAAAGAAGTGAGTGGAAACCATTTGGTCTAATCCATTGGAGGGTTTTCCCTGCTCAGCAAACTTTTTTGTTTTTAAATAATTCTCCAAACGTCACCATTGAGCAAAATGGCTTGTGAGCTCAGCTTGAGCAAAGATGGAGGGTTCCTGTTCAGCTTTTAGAGCTGAAAACTCTCATAGGGGACTTCAAATCCAATTCAAAGGGAAAAAAATTAACAGACTTTCTCCACATTCGTGGAATTGAAACGTCTTGAATAAACGCCACCGTTTGTTTCCAAGACTCTTGGTTTGGGGGTCATTTTCCTGAAACAACAGGCTTTACATGGGGAGAGAGTGTTGGGGTGTTCCCTTTTCTCAAAATCTTGGATTGCATTTTTCCCCTTTTTTTATATATATATATATATA